GATGGATCTTGATTGTATGGTGATGACACAAGTATACGCATTTATCAAAACTCATTGAGTTGTGTGCTTAAGATCTGCGAATGTAAAATTTACCCATTTAATAAAAAAGAGGTAATCATCCTTAAAATACCTAAATCTTGAAAAATATTATATAAGGTGAGGTAGAAAATGGTTCCTGATTATATACTACTAAAATAAGCTACAAAATGTGGTTAATGTTGGAGGAAACCATTTTTATACTTAAGACATAACTTACATGTCAAAAGGAGAAAGGAAACTCTTTAGTAGAATAATAGCCATTTTTTAATTGGGTAATGAGCTGTGTACCAGGTGTAAGCACTTCATTTTCTCCATTTTATAGATGAGGAAACTAAGACAAAGACAGGTGAACTTCTTCGAGGGCACACGGCCAGCAAGCAGTAGAGCGGGGCTTTGAACTCAGAGAGTCTGGCTCACGAGTCTCAACCCCCGTCCGGTGGCCCCTTGTGCTTGTAAGAGACTTGATGCTTTACTCAGACGTTCACAGAAGCAGTCTTTTGCTGACATTCAGAGTGGTTCCAGGATGAAGGTTCGTCTAGGGTAATTGCCCCTCAGGGTAATTACAATGACTCTGAGACCCTGAGGGATTGACTAGCCAGCTCCAGGCCTCCCAGCCCTGAGCCGCAATCCCAGGCCCCAAACCTGACTCAGCCTGGCTCTTTTTTCTACACACAGGGATGCCTGGGCCCTGCTTCCCCGCACTCGTGGGAGTAGCTGGCATTCAGAAGGAACAGGTTGATCTGAACTAGGGGGGATTGAAAACAGTGGGGCCACCACTCTTGAGCTGCTGTGGAGGAAAGGGGGGTGGGGGTGGGACGTCACAGCGTTGTAGCAGGGAATGGGTGCTGGCCAGGCCGCCCTCCGTTGTGTCTTCCCAGGCAATGCAGACAGTCGGGTTTGGCTGGTTGTAAATAAACACCAAGAAATAACAGTTACGGGTCTGGGTCACAAGCAGAGTGCCTTCCCTATTTCTCAGCTCACACAGGGACAAGAGGAGTGTCCAGTACTGATACAGCCCAGGGGGCTAGGTCCTGGGCAAAACCATCATGTCCCCGAAGCTTATTCCCTTCCACTTTAGGATCTCCTCCCCCACCATGTGCTCGCCCAGGACCCCAGAACATCCCCAAATCCAGGTCTTCCTTGGATGGATGGGCTACTCCCTGAGGGGAGACCCTTTTCCCTTTCACCTTCACGATCAGAACTCACCTGTCCTGTATCTCCTTCCGGGCTCCATTCTCTGCTCTACACATTCAAACCTTTGCTCACATCACTGTTCTCTGCCTGACGTCCCTTCTCTCTCCCTTTCTCCAAGTTTCCCTGCATTTCTAGATTCTATCCGATCTTCCAGTGTAAATGCCTTCCTTGAGCTGCTAAGTTGAGTTCATTTCTCCTTTTCCCGTGTTCTCATTTTACTTACACTTTTTTGCATGCCAACAACCAAGTTTTGCCTTATGTAGTAGCCTTTTACATTCCTGACCTATCCCTCTTCTGGATTGTAACAAGATTGTTCAGGGAGCATCCCAATGCAAATTATCTTTGTACAACCCCTGGCCCACCCTCCTCCACAGCTGAATGGCTGTGCTGGTGCCATGGGAACAGAAGACCCTCTTACATGTGGGATGAATGAAGGCACAGCGGCTCACAGCCCAGTCCCTACATGCTTGCCTTTTCTCAAGGTCTGGCTCTAGCAAGGTAGACTGCCTGGAAGAGAGAACTGTTCGGTGCAGATGGGATGTTTTGTACCCTTAAGTCACATCACATGAAAGCTAGCACTCCATCCTGCACACGAGACAAGAACTCCAATTAGGAGTATGAATAGTTAAAAACGGCAAAGGACATATGACTTACTTCTAGTAAGCTTTGGACTCCTGTGCCCCTCCATTTGGGTATATCTGATGTCGTGGCACCTGTTACAGTTGTGCGCACAGAGTCTGCAATCCAAACTTCATTTATTGACTCAAGGAGGATTTTATTTCAAACCAAACAGCTCAGCTGTCCCATGAGCCTCCAAAGGAAGAAGGATGCAGTTCAAATTTCCCCACCTAATCCGCTCACTCTATTCACAAAAGCCTCTCCACTGCAGGGAACAAGGCTATGTTCTTTCTCTCAAGCCTTATTCTCAATCTCTGTGGCGACAAGGGTGATTGGATATTGGGATTTTAAATGGCTTTGTCTGAAAATCATTTAAAAAGAAGCTGAAATGTCAAGACAGGTATTGAGTGGAATAGATGTTAAGTGGAAATGAACATTGAAATGAGAGATGGGTTAGTAATCCCCATTGATAACTTGGAAGGGGTGACAGGGGTCCCCGGGGTCTGCCCTAATGAATAGAAAAAGACCACTGGAATGATCTCTTCCCCGGTACAAACCCTCCTGAAAAGTGGCTTTCCCAACATGCTTAAGGACATTCTGTTTTCTTAATAAGTTGTCCTTCCCACTGTTTCTGTACCATTGATTTGATTTTTTTTCAGCAAAACTTTTTTTTTAATATCTAGAGGTAAAATTTAGCTCATACTGTTTGACAATATTCACCACATTTAAATCCCCGGAGCCTGAGGCAATGAGGTTTTTACACAGCCCTTCTGCGTACATTCTGCAATGGCTGATTTCAGGGTCTTTTACATCCTCTCTAATGAGGCTGTAGGAAATATGCAGCCGGGGCCGGTTTGAGTCCTACATTCAAACCCTGACATCAACTGGGCTGCTCCCTCCCCACCTCCCTTCTGGCCAGGTTGCTCAGTTTCACTCTGGGGAAACCCTTGAACACAGTCTCATCCAGGCTCATTACCATCTTCCAGGATGAAAAGGCCTTTGATTACTCAGAGTAGCAGGTCCTTGGGGGAACCCCCAGTGCACAGCTATGCTCACCTGATTCTCAATTAGCATTGCGTGTTGCCTGTGGGAAAAATTAAAAGCTCAGGCACCACCCCTCATGCTTCCCTCCCCTCCCCAGCCTGCCTTGCGGTTTGTGGTTGAGATTTTTCTTTTCAGTTTTTTGTTTCGTTGTGTTTTATCCCCAGCTAGTGCTAAAGAGTCTTTCTTTCCCATCTGTCTACTTCACCTCTATTTTCTGTGTCTATTGCTTTTGCCTTACAGCTTCTTCCTCATTATCTTGGGTGCAGTCCCTCCTTATGTGCCTCCATCCTCCAAATACACACACACACACACACACACACACACACACACACTTCCTCGGACCATGCACCTGAGTCTGGCATCAAACCCCTGACCTCTTCCTTGTCAGCTTTGTACTGAACTAGGACTTGCTCCTGAATCCTAAAAACCAGGCAGGCCTCAGAGATTTCTGTACCAACTCTCTTATTACCCAGGTGAGGCAACCAAGGCCAGGAGAGAAGGGGCAGTGGGATAGAGCTCTGTCACTGCCAAGGGTCACAGAGGGCTCAGTCCAACTCCTCCCTGGTCTGGCGCTGGTCTGCTGGGTCTCCAGCATTACCACGGGGAGAAGAGACAGCGTGCTCCCCCACTGCCAAGTCTCTCCTGGGTCCCCAGCCTGCCCACCAGCGACAACCCAAACTAACCCTCAGAGTGGGACTGAGTTCAACCTGGAGGTAGCCTTTCAGTGAAATGGTTTGCTAGTTTAGGTTGGTGGGGATTTAAAAGCCTTCTTTCAACTACAAAATTGAAACACAGTCATTGAAAAAAATGTCAAATTCAAGTGTATGCAGTAAAAAACCAAAGGATACTGCTTTCAGTCTCTTTTCACTCCCCCTGCTCAGTGATAACCACTTTCAATGGTTTGAGACTTTGATCCATTCACCTATAAAACAATTAGGCTTGGATTTTTTTTTTAAATAAACAGGATTCTATTATACATTCTACTTTTTTGGTGTACAGTCAACAGATACTAATTTATTATTCCTAAATAATAATTTCTTTTTAGTCCCACCCTATCTCTAGGTTTCTCCTCAAAGAAATTACAGCCTCTTCCATGTGTTCCCACTCCCCCCCCCCCCAAAAAAAACCCAGTATTTATCCTTCCTTCTCTGAACCACTTCTCTATCTCATGCAAAATTGTGTCTTGGGGTATTGAATGGTGTTGGCCTGGTGACACATTCTGATTCCCTGCCCTCCGCTACTTGACCGTCAGCCCCCTGAGGGCAGGACCCTGTGCACTTTATCCATCCCTCTGTCTTAAGTCTCCAGAAGGTGGCTCAGTATGTCTAGACTCCAGTGAATGTTTCTCAAAGTGAACTGGACTGACCCATGTCTCCTCCCCTGCCCTCCTTCTCTCCTGGTTGTGGTTCTTGCAGCAACCTGGGCCTGTTCTGACTGGATGGGCTAGAGAAGTGGGCAGCCTTACTTTGCCTCAGTGGGTGGTGTATGAGTGTGGGGTGGTGGTGGGGTCCGGGGACATGCAGCCCCTCTCACACTCTCTTTCCTGTGCCAGTAGGAAAAGGAAAGTAGAGGAAAGTTAAGGCCCTTCTTATGGGAAAGAAGGCCTGGGATGTGCCTGGTTGTCCCAGGGCTGGCTGCAGACATAGTTCTAGAAGGGAGCTGTCAGCTGGGAGGCACCCACGCCCTCGGGGCCAGGCTTCTGCTCAGAGGAGCTGCAGGCCAGGGAAAGCCAGTAGAGCTGCAGAGGCAGCAAAAGGAGGCCAAGAGAGCCCCTGGGAATGCAGCACAGTGGAGGAGACACCGGGGATCCACTCCCACGTCTACCTCTGACCAGCCTGGTGCCTTCCTGTACGTTAGTGTCCCCCTTGTCAGATGGAGCTAATGGCCTTTGACCTGCCTGCCTCACGGGGCTGTTGAGAGGGTCAGACAAGGCAATATGGGAATTCGCCTCATCCTGGAGGGTGCCGTACAGATAGGAGGTCCCAGAGTTGTTAACAAGGGCTGCGTGAACTCCAGTGCTGTAATGATGACTCCCAGGGCAAGAGATCTGACCCCAGCTTGTGGTCCAGGGTGTCTGACTCTAATTTCCTCTTTCCCCCACCCAGGGCAATCCTTCTACTCCCGGGTGCTGGAGAACTGTGAGGATGTGGCTGACTTCGATGAGGTAGGATACCCTTGGGGCAGCACGAGCCCCCACCCCAGGGGGGAGCCAGCA